GGGTAACAAGAGTGAAACTCCGTCTCAAAAAAAAAGAAAAAAAAAAAAAATGAGCAAGAACAAGTGTTGGTGAGGACAGGGAGAAATTGAAACCCTCATCCACTGCTGGTGGGGATGTAAAATGGTACATTCACCTTGGAAAACATGGTAGCAGTTCCTCAAATGGTGAAACATAGCATCCATATGGCTCAGCAATTCCACCCCTACCCAACAGAAATTAATACATCCACACAAAAACTGGTACACAAATGTTTATACCAATGTTATTTATAATAGCCAAAAGGTCCAAACAGTCCAAATGTCCATCATTCTGGAATGTTCTGGAATTAGTGGTAATGATTACACAATATTGTGGCTGTGATGAAAAACACTGAATTGTACACTTTAAAATGGTGCATTTTATGGTATGTAGTTTATATCTCAGGTAAAAAATAGAAACAAAAAGCCCATGGAAATAGGGGCATGACAAAGCCTCACCTCCCAGCCATTCCTGTCCTCAGGGCTCAGCACCACCAAGGTTAGAACTGAGTGGGCCTCATGGAACGGCAGGGCCACATCCCCGCACTGTCCAACGTGACTTCAAGTCCAGTGACCACCTTCCCTGGGCACACGAGTCATTCATGCCTAGGAGAGAAGGTCTCATGTGGCTGTTGGTCACCCCCCACTAATAAAGAGCCCACTGGGCAGTGTTTCATATGAAGTTAATGCAAAGATGGACTGGCTTCCTCTACGTGCTCTACCTCTACATGTCCAGGGTGCATCTGACACATCCAAAAATACCTGTCTAGCCCCTACATGGTTACCTTGGCGACTGAAAGGTAAATATTTCTGGTGGGGTTACACCAACCAGCGGGGCATGTGCTGATACCTGGTGGTGTTCAATTACACTATGAACAACACTTCCAGATTCCATCTGCGGCTTGTATTAGTCAGGACAGGAAAGCAAGGCAAACAATCCTGACCTACTCATAGCTCACTTGACCATGGAAAGGGCAGGCATGGAGCTGGGCTTCAGAAACCACAGTAGCCAGCCCTGACTCAGCACTTTCCCCTCTGTCCAGCCCCACGTCTGTCTCTGTCGGCCGGCTTGTCCTCTCAGGCTGCTCTCACCGTCACTGGGGGGATTGCAGCCCCCCAACAGCCCCTCTCTCCTTATCACACACATCTGCCCTCAGAGGAGAACTGTTCCAGCACCTCTCTCCTGCAAACAAGCTCCCTTTAAATGCCAAATCCAGTCACACGGCAGTTCCTTAAACAGGTACGTTTCTGAGTACCAGGCCAGCTCTTAGAGGAAACAAAACCACAAGTTGAGAGAAAAGGACTATGATGGCCATCTGGTCACTTTCTGCATGATCCATCATACTTCCAGGAATCGGGAGCTGCTGGACTTGGAGTGGAATGGCTCAGACCACATCCGCTGGAGGTCGCCCTTTAAGTAGGCCATCGTGAGGAGTGGCAATAAGGTAAATGGCACCAAATAGAGAAGGGCGGGCTGGGTGACTCGGTGAATGCGAGACGCCACAGTAGCAGTGAGCAGGCCTACGAAGTATCCGATGTAGGAGACCTTCTGCATGCGCCCAAAGATGTTGGCAGGCCCAGGGGCACCACAGGAGTCCCCACTGGCTTGTTTTTTGTAGTTGTCATAGCGAAGGACAAAACAGAGCAGGAGACCAGGCATCACAATGTCTCCGATGCCCAACATGGAGAAGTGGCTGCCGGTGGAGCTTAGGAAGACCAGTTTTCCAGGCAGAGACAGGCGAGGAATTCCGTCTCCGAGGTGGAATGCAGATCTTTGTGAAGACCCTGACTGGTAAGACCATCACCCTTGAGGTCGAGCCCAGTGACACCATTAAGAACGTCAAGGCAAAGATCTAGGACAAGGAAGGCATCCCTCCTGACCAGCAGAGGTTGATCTTTGCTGGAAAGCAGCTGGAAGATGGGCGCACCTTGTCTGACTACAACATCCAGAAAGAGTCCACTCTACACCTTGTCCTCCGTCTCAGAGGTGGGATGCAGATCTTCGTGAAGACACTGACTGGTAAGACCATCGCCCTTGAGGTGGAGCCCAGTGACACCATTGAGAATGTCAAGGCAAAGATCCAGGACAAGGAAGGCACCCCTCCTGACCAGTAGAGATTGATCTTTGCCTGGAAACAGCTGGAAGATGGGCGCACCTTGTCTGACTACAACATCCAGAAAGAGTCCACGCTACACCTGGTTCTCCGTCTCCGAGGTGGAATGCAGATCTTCTTGAAGACCCTGACCGGTAAGACCATCACCCTCGAGGTGGAGCCCAGTGACACCATTGAGAACGTCAAGGCCAAGATCCAAGACAAGGAAGGCACCCCTCCTGACCAGCAGAGATTGATCTTTGCTGGGAAACAGCTGGAAGATGGGCGCACCCTATCTGACTACAACATCCAGGAGGAGTCCACTCTGCACTTGGTCCTGCGCTTGAGGGGGGGTGTCTAAGTTTCCCTCCCCTTTAAGGTTTCAACAAATCTCATTGCACTTTTCTTTCAATAAAGTTGTTGCATTCCCAATTGGTGTGGGTTTTTTTTAAGTTAAGGTATTTTTGCATTAGACTGGGTGGAGGGGATCAAGGTTTTCAGTTCACAAATGTTCCTGTGGTAACCATGAAATGTCAGTGAATGGGGGGAGGTAGATTTACAGTATTAACTGTAGAAAGTGGGTGCAAATAAAACCCAGGTTCAAGACCAGCTTGGCCAACATGGTGAAACCCCAGCTCTACTAAAAATACAAGAAGGGGTGGCGGGTGCTTGTAATCCCAGCTACACTGGAGGCTGAGGCAGGAGAATCCCTTGAACCCAGGAGGCAGAGATTGGCAGTGATTTGAGATCACAGCACTGTACTCCCAACTGGGGGGACAGAGCAAGACTGTCTTAATAAGGTTACTGGGAAGATACTTTTCAAGTTACTTTACAAATACTGGTGTGGGGGGGGTGTGAGGTAACAGAATGGGAGAATTAGTTGAACACCAGGAAGGTGGAAGGAATATTAAAAGGTGAGAGTGGTGAGAGTACCTGTGAAAGTGCTTTAGGTACATAGGCCGACATAAATGCATGCTGAGCTGCATAGACAGTCATGGCATCAAGTGATTTTAAAAGGATGTGGTAGGTAGAAAAAGCCATAGTTGTCAAGGTGTAGAATTAGTGGTTAAGAGGATAAAAGCTATTCCTTCAAGCAGTTTTTTGCTGAAATTGTCAAGTAGGATGGACTGCATGTAACTAATGGGTGAAGCAGTTGACCTGGGTTTGTCTCAAGTGTATAGTAGCATTCACCAATCAGACGGTACTATTAAGGTGTTAATGTTGACTAACACCAAAGGTAGAAATTGCAGGGAAACTGGTTTAATACAAGGGATGGACGCCAGGCAGCAGGCACCGCAGAGGTCATCCAGAGGCTCATTAGAGGCCTTGGAAGGTTTTTCCCAAGGAGCATCCCTCTTCCCAAGTTTCAGGGGATTCATGAACAATGTCTGCTCTGGAAGAATTCCGTGTTGGCTCCAGCAATTGTAAAGCACCTAAGGGTGGCTTAAACTAGTTTTAGATTTAGTTTTAGGGATAATGGACTAAAATTTGAGAAATCCGTGAATCCATTGAGTTTTCATTGTGAGTACATCTAATGCATAATAATTTCCATGACTTCCATGCAAGTGAGCGTGAGTCAGGTAACGTGACAAGCCAACAAAACCACTGCTATCCGGGCTGTCATTTCCGGTTAGTATGCGAGTCTATGTAATTTTAGTGCCTATTAAAATCTGGGTGACCTTTGTGTAAGGAAAAATTACCTTGAATAGTGTCTTCAAGATGTATGCTTGGTGTCAGGCATTGCAGGGTTCATAAATCAGTGACAAGTGCTTTTTGGAAACTTCAAAGCTACATCAAGTCAAGTGCAAGAAAGGCCGTGGCTGCTGACGATGTGGGATGTGGGAACTGGGTCATATTGGTGTTAACAGCATTGTGCAGAGCCAGCAGAATCTTGGCATGAGAGAGCGTTAGTCTATTTATTAAAGCTGTGTGAGTGTTGTAGAGGCAAGGACGTTCACTTAAAAACTCACTGAAGAACACTCGGCCCCTCGAACAACTAAAGTGCTTCCTATCAAGTTCAATGAGAAATTGTGAATTACAAGCATAGGTACTAGAAAAATTTTGAAAAGCAGTACAGAGCAACACAAGCATATTCATAAAACTAGTGATGTAGAAAGTGAAATGTCCATATATGGTCACTCGGGAAAAAATATTTATCTTTTTCAAAAATAGGAGATTTCAGGGTGGGCGTAGTGGCTCATGCCTGTAATCCCAGCACTTTGGGAGCCTGAGGTGGGCAGATCGCCTGAGGTTCCAAATTAAAGGGAGTTTGAGATCAGCCTGACCAATATGGCGAAACCCTGTCTCTACTAAATATACAAAAATTAGCTGGGCATGGTGGTGGGCACCTGTAATCCCAGTTACTCCGGAGGCTGAGGCAGGAGAATCGCTTGAACCCGGAGGTTGGAGGTTGCAGCGAGCAGAGATTGTGCCACTGCATTGCAGCCTGGACGACAGCAAGACTGTCTTAAAAAAATAGGGGATTTTGCTTGTTGCCTAGGTTAGTCTCAAACTCCTGGCCTCACACCAGGTCTCTTACTGTTTGGAATTACAATGCATACTTAAATACACATTTTGTATATGTGGGTGCAGGTTTATAAAATAAAGGTGATAGTAATCTAAGTTCCTACTCAATTTTACTTTCCAGGAATAACTACTTTTTAGAGGTTGATATTCTTTTGGACTTTATGTAAAAATATACCATATTTATTATGTACATATGTATGTACATACAGACACAAATTGGACCATTCTAGTATGATGATTCTCAAGATTTTTTTTGAAAGAGGAAGCTAGGTAATTATGGATATTTTTCCACACTAGTGTATCTAGAGCTACCTCATTCTTTTTAATAGTCTTGCTAGTATTCCATTGTCTGGAGGCCCTATGATTTACTTAGCCTGTCCACCTATATTTGTTTCCAGGTTTTTGCTTTTATAATGCTGCTGCAAAGTACATCCTCACACATCTTCATTTTGTCTGTTAGTTTTGTAAGATAGGTTATATAAAGTTGAAACTGCCAAATTAAAGTGATCACACTATCATGCTATTTTGTTTTCCAATTTTGATTTTTTAAAAATACAAAATGTGGGATTTTGAGAGGAGAAACTTGAAGACGAGGAGCAAAATCTATTTTTATGACATCCTATTAAAAGCCTGCTTTACATAAAGGTTGTGAAAGAATAGCATAAATACAAGATTTGTATGTTAATTAGGTTCTTAGGGCTAATAAAATAATCAGCCTTAGCACTATTTTTTATAATTCATGATGATTATTGTCCCATGATATTTCTCAATTTTTAAATTAAAAAATCCTTAATGTGCATATTTTTGAATTGTTAATATAAATTTTGAGGTGATGTCTTCATATGTGTTTCAACTACTTAAAAACTTTTAAACAGTATATAATAAAAAATCTTCTGGGCCAGACACAGTGACTCATACCTGTAATCCCAGCACTTTGGGAGGCCGAGGTGGGGAGATCACCTGAAGTCAGGAGTTTGAGACCAGCCTAGCCAACATATGTGTGTATATATATATATGGTGGAACCTTGTTTCTACTACAAATACAAAACTTAGCTGGGTGTGGTGATGCACACCTGCAGTCTAAGCTACTCGGGAGGCTGAGACAGGAGAATGAGGTGGAGGTTACAATGGGCTGAGATTGTGCCACTGCGTTCCAGCCTGGGTGACAGAGAGAGACCCCATCTCCAAAGAAAAAAAAATCTTCCATCCTTATCTCCTATCCACCCTTTCCCCTACCACTTCCCCCCAGCATGTACTTTCAGACTTTATACATATACAATGAGTACTATAATTATATATATATATATATATACACATATACATATATAGATAATTCCCCTTCACACGAAAGGTAGCACACTGGTCTGTACAGTCTGTCCTGCACTGTGCTATTATAGTTTTGACAGAGTTCTAACTTTTTTTTCTTTGATAACAGTCTTGTTCACCCAGGCTATAGAGGAGTGGCATAATCATTGTTCATTGCAGCCTTGCCCTCCTGGGCTCAAGAAACCTCCTGTCTTGGCCTCCCAAAGTGCTGAGATTACAGGCCTGAGTCACTGAACCCAGCCAGCCTGCCTTTCATTTTGTATAAAGAAAAAAGACCTTTTGTGTAATTTCCTCAAGAGTAAAGAAAACCAAGAGAGCAACACAATTTCTAGTGAACATTTGGAGGGCCCTTCATCTAATAAATACAAGCATGTCAGGAACTATAGCGACACAACAACGACTGGGCGATGCTCCTGCCACCATGGCATCCTCAGTCTAGTTAAACCACAGAGATGTTAGACTAGTACAGTTTCACGGGATAATTGTTAAATCTTTTAAAAAAATTATTTTTTTAAAATTAGGCAACACTTTATTCCATAAAAGAGAGTTAAGTGTTCTCAATTGTTAAATTTTAAAGCATCCCAAAGTTTGTTTTCACACTCGAATGAATACTATGTGAGGATTCACTTACATAGATGTGGTTGCATGAGTCTTTTCTTTTTTTTTCCCATTTATTTTATTGCATTTTAGGTTTTGGGGTACATGTGAAGAACATGCAAGATTGTTGCATAGGTACACACGTGGCAGTGTGATTTGCTGCCTTCCTCCCTATCACCTAATCTGACATGAGTCTTAAGAAAAAAATAAGGCCGGGCGCGGTGGCTCAAGCCTGTAATCCCAGCACTGTGGGAGGCCAAGGCGGGTGGATCACGAGGTCAAGAGATCGAGACCATCCTGGTCAACATGGTGAAACCCCGTCTCTACTAAAAATACAAAAAATTAGCTGGGCATGGTGGCGCGTGCCT